AGAGAATGTTGTAAAATGTTTCCAAATTTCTGTAACGTCCCTTCTTTTTTCTTAGTGGTCAAGTTTACACAAATTATGGCTCCCTAACTCCATAAAGAGTATGTTTTCTTAGATGATGAACGCGGCGTAGAAACCTTTTGTTCCTTTTTGACAGAAGAATATCTAGTCTCTGAAATAAGGAACTTAGAATTGTCTCTGGGTGTGGCATTCTTCCTATTTTCACATTTCATCAAGTCTTCCTCCATTTCACTATTCTTCATCTTCTGGACCTTTGAAATCTTAACTGTTACTGGTGCACACAACCAGGGTGCCTCACTACCACTTTGGCTGTAAAGGTGTAAACTGAATCTCTAATTCAGGTTTTGGAAATCGAGTACTTCATTTTCTGTTGACACTTCACAAGAATCAAGAACCACTGATCTACTACATTCCTACAAATTTCAAAACTGAATATGATATTCTTTAACAGGCTTACTTTCCAATTTCAAACCTTCAACCCTGGCAGGATCTGTTGAACTAGTATCTCTGGGCTTGATGACCATGCTTTGCTTTTCATTTCAGAAGCCTCTGATATGCTTTTTTTTTTTTTTTTTTTTTTTTTTTGTTGAACTTCATCATCTTTCTGTATGATACTGAAGATCAAGGCTTTCAGCAGCAACCAACTGATCTTGTTCTTCTCTTTACTTCTGAAAGTCACTATTTTTCTCTGCTGGCTATGCTGTCAGTATTTCCATTTCGTTTTGTTGCTTTAAACAACCATCTCTATTTTCAACATACTTTTTCATCTCTTTGTTTTGTAGATTTTCAGCTTCTTTTGCTTGATGATAAGCATCATTTTTTTCTTTTATTTCTATCAATTTTATATTTCTGTTCACATTCCTGCAGTTTGTCCTGAAGCTTACTGAGCTTTTTATGAAGTATGTCTGTCCTCAAAATTTTTATTTGACTTACAATTATTTTGTTTTCCAGATTTTTGCATTTTTCCTCCCATTTTTCCAGTTCAGTGGTCAACCACTCTTCTTCCTCCTATTTAGCCTAAACACTTGATCTTGTTCTACTTTAGTTTATTCTTGTTCCTCCAGTGTCATTCACATCTTTAATAATTTTCTCTTTAACATTTAGATCTTTGCACACTCTCATATTGCTGTATATCTTCTTACACTTTCTGATTACTTAACTGCTCCTTGAGCTGCTGAATGGTTTGCTGTTTTATGTCTATTTCCTGAGAGAACAAGTTTTCTTTTTCTCCAGCTCATTTTAGTCCTCAGTAATTTCTCCTCATGAGTTACAGATATCTTTTTCTGCACTTGCTCAGTCTGCTTTTTGGCATCAGTCAGTTTCTTCTTCAGCTCAGTACAATTTTCTTTCTCTGAAGATATGCTATCAGACTTTGGGAAAGAGCAGAACTTGCAGAGAGTTCTTTCAGTTTTCAGTTTCTTGTCTATTGTCATCTTTTTCTTCTTCCTTTAATTGAAAGGAATGCTTCAGATCCTGAAATTATTTGATTACTGTGTGATTTCTTCTTTCAATTTAAGTTCCTTTTCACTCAAATCTTCGGTGTTTTTGATAGAATCTTTAAGATTTGTTTGAAATTCTTTCAGATTTTCTTCTTGCTTTAAGATGACAAATTTTTTTAACTAAAATGTCTTGCTCTTTAATTTTTCAATTTGTTGTTGTAGTTCCTGGATTTGATGACTTGTTTTTTTTTGGAGGAGGCCTTCACAATTTCCTTACATTCTTCGCAAATGGCTTCAATACTAGAGTGTAAAGAACTTTCCCTACTGAGCTCTTGAATATGATATTCTTTAACAGGCTTACTTTCCAAAAAATTATTACTTGTAAGGTGTAATTGTGTGTCTGGCAAATTCTCTTCCAGAAGACCATTTGATCAAGTCCTGAGCTTGAGTAAATCAATGTTTGAGATCTGAGAAACTGAATCAAGTGAATGCAATTCATCTATTTTTGTCTTCATTAATTTTATTTGTCAAATATTGCTTGTGATGTTTCTTATAGCAACTTCTATCTTCTCTGACAATTACATGATCTTTTCTTCCTGTTCTTGATTTATATTTTTCTGCACAGTTAGTTCAGCATAATTTGCCTGAATTTGTTAGACTGCTATACTTAAAGTTAAACTCTTTTTCAGAAGAAAAGTTGTTGCTGAAAACAATCTGTTCATCTAATTCTCTTTCTCCTTTTCACTTTTAAGTTCATTCTCAACAATGAATACAAGTGTTTTCAGCTCTTTATTCTTTTCTTGTATGACTCTAATATTGTCCTCATCTTCTGAAATGGTCTGTTGCCTTTCTTCACGTTTCTTTTGGTTTTTGGTGATAAATGAATTAACAAGTACAAGTCTCTTTAAGGCTCAATTTAGTGTAGTTAAAAACAAAGGACATGTTGCCATTTTAAAAACAATTAGTGAGCTATACTTGTGCATGTGGTAGGGTATCACTCTTGATACAGTAGCTATTTTCTCAACCAAGAGCACCATCTCCTGAGAAATGCTTTTTTTATTTATATCATCCATTTGTATAATCATGTAACTCAAACAGGAGTTACCATATACAGTACTTCAGACCTCTTCCATGCACCAGTGTTTGTGGGTGGATATGAGACACAGGTTGTTAGGACTGTTATTTATTCATATTTATTAATAGTTCAGTGCCTAACATAATTAGGCATGTGAGAATTGTTTTAGAATCAACAGATACAAGCCTGTATTGCTTCCTTTGATGCTACTTATAAAAATCTCTACAACCATCTGACTCTGCTGTAACAGTCTTATCTTGTTTTAGCAGTTTCGTGTAAGTCGATTTTGAAATGTATATTACTCAGTTTCTTTGATAAGTTTCAAAATTTGCTGATAACTATAACTACAATTTGCTTTTCTGTATCTCTGCTGCCACATGTATGACTCAAAGGTTCTTGAATTTTATTCATTCACAAGGCTTTTGTCAGGCAGACAACAGTATATACATAAGTTTATTAATTGTAATACTCTGAACAAATGTTTGTTGATACTTTTTCATTCAGTGGAAAATAGCTGAGGACCTCTCATGTACTAATCCCTGTGTTCACCATTACTATACAGTCCTGCATTGCTCAAAGGATCAAAGGGTAGGAGCTCAAAGGCAAAATCTGGATGCAAATGAGATGATTTTGATCAACTGACTCAAGATTCCAGAGTTCCTAAAGTCTGAGTATTGGGCCAGACAGAAGCCATTCTAGCTTTCTCTTCATGGCTACTGAGTAGCTTAAGAAGACCACAGTCCTCTTCCTGAAATAACTTCAGTGTGTTTGAGGAGTACTATAACCCAGTATGCTTAAAAGGGAAGATTTTTAAACAAAAAATTATTTGCATTTGAATATGAATGTTTTTGTTACAAGAAATGTTGATGCAGGATAACTCTGCATTCATGTATTAGTTAAAAATATTTTGGTTTTAAATAACAGAAACTAACTCAAAGAAGCCTAAGGAAAAAAAAAGAACCATATTACAGAGAATGATGTTTATCAGAACCCAAGAATAGAAATGTATATGGGCTTTGGGAAGAGCCTGAACTTAAAGTCAGGAACTGAATAGAAGCTGAATCTTTTGCTCCAAATCTGCTTCTCCAAACACACCTACTGCATTCTTCTCTCTCCGTGTCTCTGACCCAAATGGCGCTCTCCTTAAACTACTCCCCATAATGGAATCATCCTGGTGGAGGCTGGGTGGCCATGATTGAGGTTGTAGTAGAAGGAAGGCATAGCTCTGAGTGGGAGGAAGGGAAATGAGAAAAAGCTGTATCCATAGGCTACTTAAATATATTCTGAGTCTACCAATTTACTCTCCCATGCACAAAAATTGCTTTCCATTACCCTTTCTTACTGTCTTTGTTAATAGCACCATTAGTTTTTCTGTCTTACCTATTTTAATTCTTCATCTTTCATATAGAGTCAATCACAAGGTCATATTGATAGTAAAAGCATTGTTTTCTAACTTATAGGTAAAAGTTTATAATTACATTAGGATTTGGAGTTGAACTTGAACTAAAAACTTGCTTTCATGACCCCTAGCTACATGACCTTGGAAAAATAATTCTCAGAAATATTTTGCCCAACTACAGTGTGAAGACCTTATATTAATCTTACTGGATTGTTTGCTTAAATTAATACCTATATGGAAAGCATTTAGCACCTTTTATATTAAATCAAGCACTAACTGTAAGCACCTTAGTAAAGAGTGGTTTTTGTTAATGTAAGTAATGATAAGTACATTTACAGAACTTCATTTTTTTAGCTTATGAAACCCTTAACCCAACATTTTCTTATCTAATATTCACAAAACCCCAAGAGACCAATAATACCCCGTATTAGAGATGCAGATAACAAAGAACAGAGAGATGAGAACACTTCCTTACATGTAACTGTATAGACGTTACTCCAGTAGAGAACGAATGTCCAGTCTGAAGTTGTAGCAAGACTACTCGGCTGCACATCATATTCATGTAGCTAGGATCCAGATTTTGGTAGGATGACTGACCTGAGTTATCTCTGAGGTCTTGTGATTGTTCATTTATTCACACATACAATAAATATTTACTTATCCCTTACTTGAAATTGAGTCTTGTATACAGCACAAACAACCAAGCAAAATCTCAAAATGTACCTAAATATATACAAATATAGAAAATATTGTGTATATATCATAGATTTTCTATAAGACAGAAAAATAAATACGAAAATAGCCTAATTTTCAGTTCTTCACATCGATTTAAGAACCCACTGACCCCTATCCTCCTTTCCAGACTTCTCCCCAAATTTAAAAGTATCAAGGAACTAGAAAATTGTTTGCGTGTCAGTGCCTCAACTCGTCAAAGAGCAAGGCTTGCTGGAAGCATGAAATCCAGAAAAGTGGGCGGGACTTTGGGAGGGAGGAAGGAGACAGCACGGAACTAATGTTTCAGTGGTTGAGGTTCTCCGTGGGAAGTCAATTCTGAGGACCGGTAGTGGAAAGCTCTTAGGCTGTTTCCGGCCACCTCAGCGGGAAGTGAAGACGCAAGCGCCAGTATCTTGGGAAAGTGAGGTAGAGGTTTTACTGTCCTCTCACCAGGAGAAGTGAGAACGACGCCACCGGCAGTGCGGGGTGGTGGTGGGTCCCTGTAGCCAGTGAAGATGGTGTTGCTAACGATGATCGCCCGAGTGGCGGACGGGCTCCCGCTGGCCGCGTCAATGCAGGAGGACGAACAGGTAAGCTACTCCTAGACCTCCACTGCCCGGAGTCCTGCGGCAGCTCTGTGTTGTTAGCACTGAATTCCTTCCTAGAATGCAGGAAGCACTCTGTAACCTCCTCAGTAGCTTTATTAGCCGCAGAATATTATAAGTCCTGAATTTTGGGCAGGTTCCCAAAAAGTCGAGTCTGCATGATCGCCATTAGCCAAACTTAGCCTGTCTCCAGAACATTTTCTAAAGAGGACAGGTAACAAAATCTACCTACACCTTCAGGAAAGATTTCCTCTCACAGGTAGTCTCCACCCACAAAAAAGAGCACGTTCACAGCCTAAGTAGAACAGTTACTTGAAAGGGATATGTCTAGTTAAGAAATTACACATTTCTTTTCTTGGACGTTTCATTTATGTTATTCATGCAAAAAGAAAGGAAAGGAAGATTTGAGTACATCAAATATGCCGGGCATGTTAATACAGGGGATTAGAGGACACAGTCTACCTTCTTGGAGCTTATAGTTTACTGGAAAAGTCAGATAACTATTGTAATAGAATTGTTAGGCAAGAGGAAGAGAGTTCAAGGATTGAACACGGAAAGATATCTAAGTTGCTTTTGGAGATCAGGAAAGTTTTCTAGAAATGACATCCAAGCTGACAGTAGGATCAAGCACTAAAGGGCTCGTCTATTTGTTTTAATGCCATTTTAGTTTTGAAAGTAAATAGTGTGGTTTCACTTTTATAAGAGTAGTGATGCAGATGGTAAAGTTGCTAAGTCAATATATTTTATTCATTCTACAAAACAAAGTCTATAATCATTCAAATATATGACAAAAAATATAATACACTAATTTTTCAACTGTGAAATGTTTTTCTTCTCCAATTTAAGAATTTTCTGTGACCACTCTTTAGAAGGAAGGTAATTGTTCAAATGAACCCAAGAACATGATTTAAACAAGGGAGATAGTGTGGACGATATTCCTTGAAGCACAAGTAGTATGAGAAATATTTTACCCACGAAGGGTGACAGTGAGGTAAAGAGGTTAATCATCTGAGTAGTTTTCCAACTTGCAGTGAATTCTAATGTGGGCAGAGAATACAAAGTACATTCAAAAATCTACTTAACATTAGTGGGCTTCTATCATCTACCTTGATAATTTATTGAAAAATTATTGACTTGTTATTGTTTCTTAATTTGGTATAGATTTACCAAAATAAGTGCTTTGTTTCATTGACACAGAAAGAAATTTTACACAAAAGTTGTTTTTGTTATTGTAAATACGTCATATTTTCCTTTAGGGAATTTTGATTTTGAATAATAGTCTTTCCTAAATTGTTAATGTCTACAAACAATAATCCTAGACTTATTTTTAGTCTTATAATAATATACAGAACATTTATAGAATACCTACTACATACCAACCACTGTGGTAAGCCTAAGTGCATTATTTCATTCAGTCCTCATACCAACCATATTAAAATAGGTACTGTTATTATCTCTCTTTATAGATAAGGAGGCTGTGAGGCTTATAGAAAATAGATGACTTGCCTAAGTCACACAACTAAATAATTAGCATAGTGAAATTCTTCAGTAGGGTTTTTTCACTTCAGTACTGTTGACATTTTGGGAAGGCTAATTCTTTGTTGTGAGGAACTGTACTGTGTGTGCATTGTAGGATGTCTAACAACATTCCTGGCCTTCATCCTCAGTTGGCAGTAACACTTTGCTCCTCTGCTTTGTTATGACAACTTAAAATAATTCCAGATATTACAAAACATCTCCTTGGGGGCAAGATCAACTGTTAGTGCCTAAACTATACCGGACTACCTTGTTTTAAGATGTTTTAATGATATATTTACTCCTTATCAGTCCAGAATTAACTGTTTAAGAACCAGATTATCTCCACTAAATAGTTTTATACTTAAGTGTGTGAATTGTCCAAGCCAGTAATTCAGTATATTTTCAATTATTTATACTGATATAGATATCATATACAGTATTATGTGTTTATTAGGTGTCAGTCCCTGTACCTTATTACTGGAAATGAAAAATTATTCAGATAATATAATAGAGAGTAAAACTCACAAAATAATACAGAGTATTTTATAAACAGTTTCCTCTGCAGTTAACTAGAAGTTTATGCTGAGAGCAGGTAGAGAAATGAGCTTTTCTTCACAAACCTAGACATCCTGAATGATAGCTTATTTGTTTTTCCTTCTTGGTATGCTTTTCTTTTAGGAATTTTGCAATTTCTTCACCCACCTCTGTTCTGCCTCAAAATTCTCCAGATGATTCTAGTGTGAAGCAAAGGTTGCAAATAAGAGTTGTGTTGATCTTTTTCTTTGAACTTTCATAGCTTTTCCAGCATTATTTGCATCCATTTTATGTACTACTGTGGGTTCACATCTCTTCAGAATACTACATAGTGCAGTGGCAAAGCAAATAGATTGATAAGTGCCATTCAAATTTAAAAATAAGATATTGTGTGCTAGATCTTAGTGGCTGAAAATGTGATACTTTTATTCTCTGCTACTGGCTAACCACTCACAGATAAATACGTACAGAAATATTAACATACATATGTATACATATGTATGCCATACTATTTAATATGGTGTATTAGTCTACTCTCCCATCACTGGGACAGATAGCCACAATTTAAAGAAGAGGTTTATTTTGGCCCATAGTTTTCAGAGTATTCAGTCCCTGACTGGCTACCTCCAAGGCAAAAATGTTGTCAGAGGAAAGCTGCTCAACCCATGCAAGCCAGGAAGCAAATAGTGAAGGAGTGGAGGCCCAGGGAGGTAGATACACCCTCCAAAGGGACGCCTGTAGTGATCTGCCTCCTTCAATCAGGCTGTACCTTGCAACAGCAGATTCAGCTGTGAACTCATGAGTGGACTGATCCATGGGTATAGTGCCCTTGACCCAATCACCTTACAAAAGCTCTATCTCTAAATATATGAAACTTTTGGGGGACATTTTAGATATTAACCATAACATATGATAATGGTGACATGTTGATAATGTTAATTATTGCCAAGTACAGTTTAATATGTAAAACTATATCTACATGTACATACATAGGTCGACATAGAAATATTTCTCAAATGAGTAGCATTATATAACAAATGATTTCCATAACAGCAGTGCTAAAAAAAGGTAAACCTACAGCTAATCCTTCAGGTAGATTCCGCTTGACATCCCTGGTGTGCCTCATGTATATTTGTCTCCTATTCATATTGAAATCTCCAGTTCACCATCTTTCTAAACTTGTGCATTTGCTGACCTGCCACTTTATCATTTTGTCATTGCTTCCTTGTTTTTACTATTCGCTTAGCAGAATGCTATCTAGAATTTTAAGATTCTACTTTATACTTTCTCAAAGTTAGACCTTAGGACTCAGACCCTGAGAGAATGTAGTATAAACACTTCCTTTTCAACAGTTAGTTATTAAAATCAACCAAAGGGAGACTATGTTCTACCTTTTAATCCAAAATAAATAAATGCAAAATAGAATAATTATTTCTTTCCATCACAACAGTGTCCACAAAATAGGTGGCTTATAAAAAAACGGAAGTTTATTTTTCTAGTTCTTGAGACTGAGAAACCCAAGATTAAGGGGCCAGCCAAATTTGGGTCTAGTGAGGGCCTGCTTCTTGTTCACAGATGGTGTCACTGGCTGGGTCCTTAGAAGGTGGAAAGCAGTTAGCTCTTGGCATCTTTTAGAAGGGTACTAATTTCAATCATCAGGGTGCCTCACTACTTTAATCCCTTCCCAAAGGTACTCCTTCTTAATGCTATCATTTTGGGGGTTAGGATTTCTGCATATGAATTTTGGAAGGGATGCAAACATTTAAACTATTGCTGACCTGACCAGTTTGTGGATGAATAAAGAATGTGTATGTGCTTCACATTCTTCATGCATTTCTTTTCCCCTATGTGTCTACTAGGCTACAAGGTCTGATTTTTTTCTTTTGAAATGACACTACTATAGTAGGAAGCACTTTTGTAGTATATATGAGCCCTGCATTGAGTTCTAGCAGTAAAGGAAAACAAAATTACACAACTTTCTCTAGTGAACCCCTCATTAATTATAACAGCATTTAAAAATTATTCAGGGACATATTACCTGTGACTATATTATTTGAAGTCATTATTTTTATTTTTGTTTGCATATATCCCTCACTATTCAAAGTTGCTATCCAGACATGAGAACTGAATAGTGTATGCAGTAAAGGATATTTAACTTTTCAGTCTTTGTTCTAAGCTGCTCATTTTTGCATAGTTACAGTCATAGTGTTTGTGTAATTTTCACACACAGGTATGCACATTCAGTTTTGCTTAAGTGCTCAATAATACAGCATTCTGAAGAAGATTTTACTTGATACTCTAGCATAGAAATGAGATTCACCAGTCTTTTGTTCCCAAGATTTTCTCCTGAGTAGAGTGCATGCTGGGTAGTTCTCTGTTAGTAACTGTGAAAGTGCAGTGGGTTAGGAGTAGGGTACTGACCTAATAGTGGAAAGAACATTGAGAGTACCTCAAATGTAGTTGAGATACACACTTTTGCTTTTATCAAAAAAAATGTGGTCTTTTTGAAGAACTAGATGTTAGGTCTTTCCGTTTGTTCTAAGAGTAGGCCATTTTTCTTTCATTAAGACAATTCATATTAACCTGTAGATGAAAGAACTTAACGTAGTGTCCTCATAATATCATGACATTTCTTGCTAATTGTTACAGCTTCTTTCTGTCAAAAATTCTTAAATGGCAGTATCTTCTTTCAGTCTGGCCGGGACCTTCAACAGTATCAGAGTCAGGCTAAGCAGCTCTTTCGAAAGTTGAATGAACAGTCCCCTACAAGATGTACCTTGGAAGCGGGAGCCATGACTTTTCAGTGAGTATAGTTCTGATTTCTTAGGATCATTTAAATACAAAAGATACTAATATAACACCTTATAAGAATAGTAACAATTTTTCTAAAAGTAAAGATAACTTTGTTTATTTAATAAGGGCTTACAATAATTTTAACCCATTAACCTGTGTGTAATAAATTCTGTACTCATCATTCAATAATAAATAAATACATCCTTTAGAAATATTGTGGATATTAGAGAAATGCAAAGTAAAACTACTTTGAGATGCTGTTTTATCCTGCAAAGGATGATTATATAAGAAAATCTAGTAAGAACAAAAGCTGGCCAGGATGCAAGGAAAAAAGAATTCTGCATTGTTGTTGAGAAGGTAAACTTGTACAACCACAGTGGAAATCAGTGTGAAGATTCCTCAAAAACCTAAAAATAGAAATTCCAGTTGACACAGCTATTCCCCTTCTAGTTATCTTCCTAGAAGATATCCTATAAGTATGGAGGAATATGATTTTATCTTATAGGTATCAGGAAACCCGTGGAATTTGTAAGCTGGTCAATATGGTCCTCTTTACTTTTGGGGAATAAAACTAGTGGTATAGAAGATGATATAGCTTGAAGGGGAGGAGACCAGTTAATTTAGGAGTTTATGCAAGTAATAGGACAGCAATATTACTAATATTATTTAAGGAGACTGAAGACCATGTACTAGTCTTTATTTTCTATGGAGCTCAAGGATGCCTCAGGAGTCACATAGAAAGGTTGGGGATAGGAATTTAAGTAATACTTCAGACCTTTAAACTCCACTTAAAGAATGTCTGATTTTATCTGCTGAACACATTAGTCTTCTCAATGTAATTTTGTGCTGAAATAAAGAATACTGTAGGTAAAAAGAAATTTGAAAGCCACTTAGTAGCCCAAGCTTTATCCAAGAATAGTTCATGCATATAGTCATATAGCTCCTTCCAGAATGCCAGGAAGCTCGCTTAACACAAGGATTTAGTTCTATTGTTAGATAGTTTCCAGTATTACAGAGTCCTCCTATCTGGAAATCAGGCAGATTAATTCTAATTAATTGAAATAAATTGCAACTGAGGTTACACTTTTCTGTGTCCAGTAAATAAAGATCTAGGTTGCACTTGTGAAAGATCATGAATTCAATCCCTGCTACCACAAAAATAAATACATAAATACTCCTTTTAGGACATACTTCTAATGATGGAAAGAGGTTTGTTTTCTACTCCTAAGGACTTGGAGTTTGACATTCGATTTGTGACTTAGCCAACCTCAAAAGTGTTAGGCTCAAAATTTTGAAGTTTATAATGGCTCTTTTTGTTTGTTTTTTTGTTTGTTTTTCCGGTACTGGGAATCGAACTCATGACCTTGCACTTGCCAGGCGGGTGCTGTGCCACTGAGCTAAATCACAAGCCCTGTAATGGTTCTAAGAGTCTGCTTTAGTCACTTTCATGTAGTTGCTTTACAGACAACTTTGTCTTGCCTTTTTTTTTTGTCTCTCCAGCTACATTATTGAGCAGGGAGTGTGTTATTTGGTTTTGTGTGAAGCTGCCTTCCCTAAAAAGTTGGCTTTTGCCTACCTAGAAGATTTACATTCAGAATTTGATGAGCAACATGGGAAGAAGGTGCCTACTGTGTCTAGACCATACTCCTTTATTGAGTTTGGTAAGTGTTGCCCCTTACTTCTCAAGGGATTGAACTACGGTGAAGCTATTTGTTACACTAGTTTAATAGCTGACATGTTTGTTTCGTTTTTGCTTTTTCAAGATAGGATTTCATGATGTAGTTCAGGCTGGCCTTGAACTAACAGGAATCCTCCTACCTCAACTTCCTGAGTGCTGGGATTTCAGGTGTATGCCACCATGCCAGCTTTGCCACATTTTTTTTCCCCCCTGATGTTTACTACTGAAATTTTGGCTTCTGCTTTCTCTCCAATTCTTCTACTTCTTTCTGTCTTTTTGAATTAGATTTTTCTCTAATCCTTTGATCTTTTTACCACAGAACTTGTGTTTTGATTTTTCCCTATAAGATTTGCTGCTTGGCTTGATTCTTGTCATTTGTGACAGGAATTATGCACAAAGTTCTCTACTTAGTTGGCTTGTAATAGCTGAGTTACTCTGTAGACACATACTAGCAACTGGACACATTTTATGGAGGTCAAAATTTGGAAACCAGAAAGAATGGTATTTTTTTTTTTTGTAGAATAAGGTCTACTAAAAAATACTAGAAGATATATAGTATAGATAGTATTGGAAGGTAGTATTTACTATATTAAGAAGTAGTAAGCATGGATGTCTGTATTTGTACAAGAATTATAAAAGACTCAATGCCAGTCAGGCCTAATAAAGTATCTGATGGCAGTGGATCAAAGCAAATGTCCTAAATGTACTAAGTATGGGGAAGGAGTGCAAGTAGGATCAGCCTGATATCTTTAGTTAAAAAAGAAATTAGCTTTATTACCTTAGACTTCTTGAAATATTTCAAGTTTGCTGGATATGTGGGCCATCTTGCTTTATAGAAATAGAGAAAAATTGACAAAACACTCTGGTATTTCATAACTGTAAACTCTCCAAGTGCTAAATTATATAATGTCTAGTTTTTAAATTTTTATTTTTGTAGTTACTAACAGCTCAGTAAACCCAAATTTAAAAAATGGATGACACAGGAAATTAGTGGTACACTCAGATTAGCTTAATGGTACACAAAGGTATGCATAGGCTATAAGAGAACCACAAGATAGAGTAACATGGGATCAGTAACACATTAGTTGTTACCATCCCCAGGGCTAAAGGTTTAAGGGAAAAGATCACTTTTTGGACCTGAGAAAGAACGTTTATAGAGGAGACTAACTTGAGAAGAGCAGTAGAAGAATACTGTGAACCCAAAGTGATATCTTGGGAGATGGGAATAAATACTCTGACATCACTATCTGTCCTCTTTCTTCCCTACTGTTATGGTTCCTTCATTGCCTGATCCTAATTGGAAACCAGAGGGGAAGGAGCCCATTAATGTGCTCCATATAGGTTAGGCTCCCGAGGGAGAAAGCAAGGTGCAGAAGGGTAGAAAGGGCATCTAAAGAGGCAAATAAGAGATGTTCAGTACACATTCATTCATATTTTACCAAAGTTGAAAATATCTTTAAAGATAAATCATTCTTTTTATAGTTTTGAGAAATACATAGGCTAAAGATGAATGAGACTGCAGCTTTATATTGGTATTTTGGGAAATTCTTGATCTCATGTTTGCTTTACTTGAAGTTTAAGAACAGAGCCACCTTGGGAAAGTATATTAAAGACAATATTTCAATTGAATATTTCTCAACCATGTTAGCTACAATGATGGTAGAGGGGTTTTTTTGCCAGTATCCTTTTAGGGAAGGTATTAGACTTAAGTAATAAAACCTGAAGAATCCTTCAAATACAGTTTGAAATTTTCTACTTTCAGGAAAGGCTTATGCTAGTGGATTTTAGTTTCTTTAAGAATTCTGGTAGTAAATCCTCCAATTCAGAGATACCCAAAGGACTTTTCTCCTGAATGGTCATCTATTCGAATCTTTACATTTTACAAGTGAAAGAACCAAAGCATAAGTTTTTATGTTCTCTCCAAGTGTTTAAACCGCGGAGTCACTCCACGGAGTCGCGGAGATCTAGGAATAAACTGAGAACTTCTGATTCCCAACTTCATTTCTTTGGTAGACAAAAAAGTTGTTGTTAATGGTCACTTTTCTTCATCTTTTAGATACCTTCATTCAGAAGACGAAGAAGCTCTACATTGACAGTCGTGCCCGGAGAAACCTAGGCTCCATCAACACTGAGTTACAAGATGTGCAGAGGATCATGGTGGCCAATATTGAAGAAGTGTTGCAAAGAGGAGAAGCACTCTCAGGTATCTGAAAGCAAGAATCTTAGAAGAGGTAGTTCTTATACCATAGACAAGGACAGATTATTTTGCAATACCTTTTATTGCTGTGAGATTCTACTTAGGTCTGTTAATCGTTCATGTGTCAGAGATAGACTGCATTACAAAGCCTTCTTGTGTAACATACTTTTTTCCTGGCATCATTAGTTTTTTGTTTGTTTGTTTTTTGAGACAGGGTCTTGAAATGTAGTCCAGGCTGGCCTTGAACTTACTATGTAGCCCAGGCAATTCTCCGGCCTCAGCCTCCTTAGTGCTGGGATTTCAGGTGTGTGCCACCATGCCCACCTGCATCATTAGTTTTTGTTGCATTAAAACAATGTAAAGGACTCATCCAAGTCAGAAGCAGTGATTGTTCAAAGAATTTACAAAATTAAGAAAATTATATATGAAATATTTGTACAAAGTTAAGGGAAATGAAAAGGAAGTATGAAAGGAAATTATAAAGATTTATTGCAGTAGGTTCATGAGTAACCTCTTTGGGAGACTATTGCTGCCAGGTCATTCTTTGTAAAAAGGTATTCCTCTGCTGAAAAACTTACTCTGAGACTACCAGATAAGATCTAGTATGCTGTCAACTTCCTTTATTCATTCATTGTTGTGGAACGCTTGTTGTATGTAAGGCACTGTGCTCTATAAATAGACTGTAGACATTTATTTTTCTCCTCACTTAGTAAACTTTCTTCCTCAGCCAAGTCAACTTCTTAATGGTGCCTTCTCACTGCATGCTGCACCTATTCTTGATAAACAAGAACTGCCTCTTTTAAGAAGCCTTCCCTGATCCTTACAGCCCACCTCACATTAATCTCATCTATAGGTTAAAATCTTCATACACTTAGTTACATAATCATGTGATCTGATAATTTAAATATATATATATTACATATTTATGTTTATTAATATATATCAAATATGTATTTTACATAAATCTTTGGCATACATATTTGAATAAACCAAAGAAAGTTAGGTAAAACATGTAAAATTAGGTGTTTTTACCTACACTAATTTTTTTTTGTGTTAGGGATCAAATAACCTACGATAATTTTAAACAATAGGTAATTAGTTAAAATTAGGCTAATAGTATATTTACCATATGTATGTGTGTTTTGTGTGCGTGTCACCAAAGTGTTAGATGCAGGCATGCAGACTCTTTAATGATAGTATTTTTTAATGAGTTTTGTATCTATTTGGCATACTTCTTTTACAGCTCTCACTATAATAGTCGCAAATAAGTACCTTAATAAATATTTCTTGAATTTAGCTTTACTGTACATTCATGACTAAATAGATTTTCCTTTATTGTAAGCTGTAAACTTTAATTTTTGTTTCATTTTTAAAAATTTTTCTTTCCCAAATATTTTTATCTGAAATTAGTTGAATCCACAGATATAGAAAACAAATATGAAGGGCTAACAATGTATGGTTAATAAACCTACAAGAAAAATATCAAAAATATTGGTGTTCATTGCATGCAGATAAAATTACAGATTTTTATCCAGAGATTTTTTTTCCTCTTTGCTTTATAGTTTTAAAAAGTTATTCATTTATTTCTTTTAATTTTTAAAAAAACTTTTATTGGGGGGCTGGGGATTTAGCTCAGCGGCAAAAGCGCCTGCCTGGCAAGCGCAAGGTCGTGAGTTCGGTTCCTGGTACCGGAGAAAAACCAAAAAAACCAAAAAAACTAAAATTATCTTTGACCACGAACTTCCCTGTTAACATATT